TGTCTTCTGCCTATTGCTACCGTCTCTAAACCATACATCATGGCTGGTCTCACCACCGTCCTGTAAACCTTTCCCTTCACCTTAGCCGACACTCTTCTGTCACAGATCACTCCTGACACTTTTCTCCAGCTGTTCCATCCTGCCTGCACTCTATTCTTCACCTCTCTTCACCTCAGCTTATGAAATCTCCATATCTTTGATTTGTCCTACAAAACTGTAGCCAACATTAGCATGGTGTTAAAGTACACATTAAAGTAACTGGTAAACTAAAATAAGCATGCTAAGATTTGTTACAGTAATGGAACCCTTGTGAGCTACAAGGTCATGATCCTTATGTTTAAGTCACTTACAATGGTAATGGCATTTCTTAAGCTAAACTGTACCTCACACAGCATCCCAACCTCAGATGCAATCAACTTAACATACTGTAGCACCCTCATGGTTTGGTACGCAAAGACTTATGGGTAATTGTTAGGAAATGTTTTGTGGTGATGTAAGCTGACTTTGGACGGTAAAGATCGAGGCAGGGGACATTACTAAGGCTGCTTTTTTTCTAAATTTGCATATCAGATGTTTGGTATTTTTGCTTTTGTCTACATAAAATTGTCTTTTAGACCAATAAAAACTTGGGCGCTCACAATTGGCTGCTGCTAGTGGGTGGAGTTTTACATTGCTTACGGCTGTGACTTGTGTATTTGTGATGAGTGTTTTCTTTATTTAAAATCTCTACCCCCATTCACGATCAGCTTCAGCGTGTTTTCTGGTACCTCTGTTCTGCGACCTGCTCCATGGCTGCAGACTCTAATGTAACATACATTCATCTGGACGGATTTGTAGAAATGCAAAAGTACAGATATGTTTATTTTGTCATCATGTTTACAGCTTATCTTCTGATCATCTTCTCTAACATCACCATTGTGGTCGTGGTGCTCCTTCACCAGAATCTTCATCAGCCCATGTACATCTTCATCGCTGCTCTGTTGCTCAACTCAGTTCTGCTGAGCACCAACATTTACCCAAAGCTGTTGGTGGACTTTTTATCAAAGAAGCAAATCATCTCATATCCAGGCTGTCTCCTCCAATGTTATCTTTATTACTCTTTGAGCAGTTCAGAATTTTTACTGTTGGCAGTCATGGCCTATGACAGGTATGTTTCCATCTGTAAACCTCTTCAGTACCCGGTCATCATGAGGAGAACAGTTGTCTTCCTTCTGTTGGTCTTCGCATGGGTGCTTCCTCTTTGTCAAATAGTTGTTCCTCTCCTTATCAACTACCACAGAAAACTCTGCACTTTCAGACTCAAAGGCTTTTTCTGCAACAACACAATGAACTATCTCTACTGTGTGTCCTCCAGAATTCTGTTTATCTACGGTACGGTGGCTCTTGTTGACCTCGTCGTAGTTCCGATGCTCTTCATAATCTTCACGTATGCCAACATCTTAATCATCTCGTGCAGGAGCTCTAAGTCTGTGAGGAGCAAAGCAACAAATACCTGCCTGCCTCACCTGCTGGTTTTGATCAATTACTCCTGTCTGATCATCTACGACATCACCATTGTCAAGCTCGATGGAGAGTTTGACAGAACAGCTCGTTTCCTGATATCCCTGCAGACGCTGGTGTACAATCCTCTCTTTAACCCTATCATTTACGGCCTTAAGATGAAGGAAATTAATCAAGCTCTGAAACGCTTGTTTCGTCCTGTCAAACACAGCTGATCAATTGAGCAATTCATTGTTGATCAAGCTATCTGTCATCAAATGTATCTGCTGGTCTTTTTGTTACAGATTCACCAGAAATGATGTTCTTTCTTTGCCATCTGGTTTTTGTTCGGACATGTTTTGGTAACAACTGGTATATGGTCAAGAAAAACATAATGTTATAACCTTAATAATAGTGTCACCTTTCTATAAACTTATTTCTGATGTGACAAAATGGGAAGAGGAATGAAAGGTGTGCTATCCAAATTAAATTAAATTTAAAAATATATCTCAATAAGCGACAGTCAATACATTGCTCTCTTTCATTCAATTTTAAGTACAGTACCAAATTAATGGTCAATATGCTGAGGATATACTCTGCAGAAAAGGCCCCACAGAAAATCTACGTCTCTTTTTTACACAAACAGGGAGAATACTTCTTTGCTTTGAAAATATATACATCTGTAAAACGGTGATATCAGCATAAGAACTGCTGAGGAACATTTAGACCATTGTTTCTTAACGTTGTGACCGACAAACACCATCATTTCCCTCTGTGCATGTCCTCGCACAGACTGAACAGACACTCAACATTATGCCCGAGACATGACTAGACTATTAATTTAAAACCTTAACTCTTAAATACAAAGGCAAGTCCGCTTTTAGGAAAAAAAAACAAAACAACATTTATCAACAAACTAGATCAAGACGAATGCAGAAACGTAATACCTTGAAAAATAAAGCATTTGGATGATAGTGGAGTCTTAACATCCACTTAGTGGTCAAAGTGGCGTGACATACAGAAGAACAAACACTTTGTGTCTCTGTGGAGATTAATGGTTATTTACAAAAGGTTCTGTCATGTTATAACTTGATTTAAAATGAACAAACTAAAACTTTATATTAAAATAATTCATGTGGGTTTAATCATACACATTTGGTTCTAAATGTAAAGTGCAGTATTTGCTTGTCGTGATACTTGTCATACACATGCATTATAAACTAAACAAATGTTGTTGAGTCTAGGTTTGGTGTTTCTGCTGCGTTCTTGACTACAAAACCGCCAGTAGTCAACAACTTTGTTTATGATAAACAACCTTGTAATGATAATTCTTCACAGTATTCTATCGCTCTCACGGGCCTAAAAACATCTTAGATTAGGGATTACCGATATTAACTTTTTTGCCAATATCGTCCAAAAAATTAATTTCCAATTCCAAAATCAACCAATACTAACCCTTTCATGCATGACGGTCACTACAGTGGACAGCTATTAAAATGTCATTTTCTATGATAAGAATAGGTGTTTGATGGCAGTGTTGCATATAAGCCTCTACAGTGGATTCCTGAGAATCACCCAACACTGCCATACAGTGGTCAGCCTTTGCAACTGCAGAATAATTTTGTCAACATTCAAAAAGAAAAATTTGGTGTATAAAAACAGAACCAAATCAGTTCTTATTTTTATGTCTAAAAACACGTAAAAACACTTAGTAACTTTTTTTAACTCAGTATATCATGGGTCATGCATCAAAGGGTTAATATATGCGACCATTTCCGTTTAAGACAACATGTCACAATGAAAATACTGTGCACAGTACGAATAATAGTTTCGGTAAAGATCGAGGCAGGGGACATTACTAAGGCTGCTTTTTTTCTAAATTTGCATATCAGATGTTTGGTATTTTTGCTTTTGTCTACATAAAATTGTCTTTTAGACCAATAAAAACTTGGGCGCTCACAATTGGCTGCTGCTAGTGGGTGGAGTTTTACATTGCTTACGGCTGTGACTTGTGTATTTGTGATGAGTGTTTTCTTTATTTAAAATCTCTACCCCCATTCACGATCAGCTTCAGCGTGTTTTCTGGTACCTCTGTTCTGCGACCTGCTCCATGGCTGCAGACTCTAATGTAACATACATTCATCTGGACGGATTTGTAGAAATGCAAAAGTACAGATATGTTTATTTTGTCATCATGTTTACAGCTTATCTTCTGATCATCTTCTCTAACATCACCATTGTGGTCGTGGTGCTCCTTCACCAGAATCTTCATCAGCCCATGTACATCTTCATCGCTGCTCTGTTGCTCAACTCAGTTCTGCTGAGCACCAACATTTACCCAAAGCTGTTGGTGGACTTTTTATCAAAGAAGCAAATCATCTCATATCCAGGCTGTCTCCTCCAATGTTATCTTTATTACTCTTTGAGCAGTTCAGAATTTTTACTGTTGGCAGTCATGGCCTATGACAGGTATGTTTCCATCTGTAAACCTCTTCAGTACCCGGTCATCATGAGGAGAACAGTTGTCTTCCTTCTGTTGGTCTTCGCATGGGTGCTTCCTCTTTGTCAAATAGTTGTTCCTCTCCTTATCAACTACCACAGAAAACTCTGCACTTTCAGACTCAAAGGCTTTTTCTGCAACAACACAATGAACTATCTCTACTGTGTGTCCTCCAGAATTCTGTTTATCTACGGTACGGTGGCTCTTGTTGACCTCGTCGTAGTTCCGATGCTCTTCATAATCTTCACGTATGCCAACATCTTAATCATCTCGTGCAGGAGCTCTAAGTCTGTGAGGAGCAAAGCAACAAATACCTGCCTGCCTCACCTGCTGGTTTTGATCAATTACTCCTGTCTGATCATCTACGACATCACCATTGTCAAGCTCGATGGAGAGTTTGACAGAACAGCTCGTTTCCTGATATCCCTGCAGACGCTGGTGTACAATCCTCTCTTTAACCCTATCATTTACGGCCTTAAGATGAAGGAAATTAATCAAGCTCTGAAACGCTTGTTTCGTCCTGTCAAACACAGCTGATCAATTGATCCAGCAATTCATTGTTGATCAAGCTATCTGTCATCAAATGTATCTGCTGGTCTTTTTGTTACAGATTCACCAGAAATGATGTTCTTTCTTTGCCATCTGATTTTTGTTCGGACATGTTTTGGTAAAAACTGGTATATGGTCAAGAAAAACATAATGTTATAACCTTAATAATAGCGTCACTTTTCTATAAACTTATTTCTGATGTGACAAAATGGGAAGGGGAATGAAAGGTGTGCTATCCAAATTAAACTAAATTAAAAAATATATATCTCTCTCTCTTTCATTCAATTTTAAGTACAGTACAAAATTAATGGTCAATATGCTGAGGATATATTCTGCAGAAAAGACCCCAAAGAAAATCTATGTCTCTTTTTTACCCAAACAGGCAGAGGAATATTTACACCAATGTTTTCCTCATGATGTAACATGACAAACATCATCATTTCTCTCCGTGCATGTCCTTGCACAAACTGAACAGGCGCTTTAGCTTTATGGCCATGAGACACGAAGAGAGAATGAATTTGAAAAGTCCACTTTTAGAGAAAAAAAAAAAAAGATTTAACAAACCAGATCGAGACGAGTGCAGAAACGTGACAACTTGAAAAATAAAGAATGGATGATAGTGGAGTCTTAACATCCAATGTGGTCTGGGTGTATCTGTGGGATGCTGCTATTGTTGTGGACGGGTAAGCCTGTGGTTATGAAACGATAATTAGACCAGAAACATTGAAATATGCCAATTTTGATATGTTCATATAAAGAAAGAAAAACGAGGGTCCACCGTATTTTGTAACTGATATTGATTGTAAAATGGGTTGATTGTAGTCAATAAATTGTAACTGTTTTTAATGACATAGCTATGGCGATGTATCATGGATGAAATGCATTGCAATATATTGATTGTCACAGAATCCCTTGTGATATTATTGTTATCGTGGGCAAAATACTGTATCTTGATGGTATCATGTCGCAAGTTACCTGGCAATACCCATCCCTAATCAGCAACATTGCTGTATAGCTGATGATTTAATTCGATTAAATGCAATTATTAGTGTGATGTCATCTCTCAAATTCATTATCAAGCAAATGCGTTTGTGGAATCGGTAGGAATTGTTAAATCAGCAGAACAATAGCTGTCATGGTGCATTCCAGTTTTACTAATACAAATCAGCAGCTTGACTGATTTTGCAAACTTCACAAAGGTGTAGGACCCATGCAGTTAAGGTACAGTGACATCAGCTGTTTCTTTCTTGAGCTCATTTGTGACTTGCATAGTGTCCTGGGATAATCTGACTGACCCTTAGGTCACTAACACCAGGCTGATGGATTACTGATAGAATCAGAGTTGAAGCACCAATCAGAGTGAACATGAAGTGTTTGTGTATTTTTTTTTAAAATTTATTTTCAAAATTCATGAAGCCGGATTGAACACCCTAGTGGGCCTGTTTTGGCCCACAGACCGTATGTTTGACACAACTGGTTTTCCGTGAATAAGTCTCTCTCTGATCCTTCACCGAGTGTTTTGGCCCACAGACCGTGTGTTTGACACAACTGGTTTTCCGTGAACGAGTTGTTTATAATCAGATTGCTTCTGTGGCCCATGTTAGTGACTGGGATTTAACTTTGCTCTCAGTGCCACAAGCATAAACCACCAACATTTCAAAACCCTAATACCTTACACTGCTCCAACAACACCGGCTCTCGCCTGAGGTCACAGGATAATGTCGTTATGCAAAACAGTCTGAGCTGCTTAGTCGACAGCAGGCTCACTTCATGGTCCGCTGCACGGACGCCGCTATGCCGAAAATCAAAAGCAAAACAAAGAAAATGAAGAAGAGGGTCAGCAAAAAGGAGGGCAAAGGTCAGAGCGGAAACTCAATCTTTGGTCTGTTCGGATTATGGTCTGCGCTTTTATTTCCTGATCTATTCTATTCTAAAACCGTTTCGGTGCAGACGTGCAGTTGCAGGACTTCACCAGCAGAGGTCGTTCTGGTAGCAGAGACACCGCTGTGATGCCTCCGCTGCAGGAATCAGCACTACAGAAAAGGAAGAGGAGGAGGAAAACCAACTGGACTGTAGGTGAGGTTGATGACTGAGAAACGAAAACTAACAACACAGAGACAAGTTTCAAGTGATTTTGGTTTATGTCTAAACTGTCATGTATTATATGACCCGAGATATGAGTGAAGAACTCGCTGTAGCCAATGGAAACATTGATCACTTTGGGGCTGACAGTGAGGGGACCACTACCCCTATAACCAGGAAAACAAAAAGAAAGTGGTGAGGCTCCGATGTACTCGAAAACGCAGCTTCTGCCCAATTGATCATTTTTAGAACCAGACCACATTCTCATTTTTTTTTTTTTTTTTAATTTCTTCAATAAATTTTTCACCAGGAAGACTAACGCGACAGAAAACTACAGCATTGACCTGAGAGCTGAAAACGATGATGTCATCACTGACATCCAGTCACCGCTCCCTCAGCAGTCCTTGTTCTTCACTCCTCATGGTCTCAGTCAGTCCGTCGGCAAAGTCTTCGTGGACGGAAACCGTGAAGTTCACAGGTCCATGGAGACAATCCTTGATTTTACCCAATCACAGTTATTGATTGGTATTAAATATCAATTTCAAATAAAATTATTGCACAATATTTATTTTTTAATATATATATATATACTGAATATAATCTAATATCTAATAATATTTTTTCTACTAGTTTAATTTCTGGACACAGGTCTTCTTAACAAACTGCCAGTAGATGCTCAAATTCTACGTGAACAACTTAGATAATTATGTTATTATAACAATAACTCTGTTTTTCCCAGTGTTCCAAATATGCCGTGTTTCATTGTTTCATTGAATGTGCTGCGGTACAGTGTTATGAATGCTGCATCACCGCCAAAAAAAAAAAAAAAATTGACCACTGCTTGAGCGAAATGCATTGTTACATCGGATTAACTACATAAAACAATATGACTATTAAAGGTTATATGAAAAGTAAAATTATGAAAACCATGAGAGCCAAAGTCTCTCTTCCCCAGAAATGCAGGACACAACTTCTGTCAAACTCAAGGTTCCAGGGGCGAATTTTGGTCCTCAGTCATTTGGTGTGGACGGTGGCACTTAAAAACCTGACTCACAGTTCTGAACTAGGCTGTTTTTCCTTCTTATTTTTTACTTAAAAACGTAGACAATTTGATTTAAATGTGAGTTACTTTACCTGATGAATTCAACTAGTTTTTATTACGCAGCAATATACAACATTTGTAACTTGAATAAATATGAATCAACTGCAGATTTTTTTTATTATTATTAATATTTTACGGAGTTGTTTCATCTATATAGTTACAACCGGCTCTTCAAGGGCAACCACGTGAAACCCTATGAAAATTAGTCCGACACCCCTGCAGTACACATCAGTGATCTCTTTTGCCAGCCCAGCCCTGACACTAGGCTCAGTGAATTCGTTTTGCCCACCAGGCCGTGTAATTTGTGTTGCTCTAATATTTTTCTGTTGCAAAATAAAATCAGGAAGCCTTGGATTTACAAATATTATAGTTTGAAAACCACTGGTAAAGAGGAAAATTTGATGATTGCTCCAATTGTGTTAGCGGGTCAAAGTCTGTTGAACTGACCAAAACAGATGCAGGTTAGCATGTTCATCTTTTATTTTTCCCTGAAGTTCACAGTTCACAGGTTTTGTTTCACGCAGGTCATTTTCACGCAGAGAGAGCGGAGCACCCACAGGGTTGATGGTTGACTACTCGGACCAAATACAGTCCTGGACCAAAAGAGATGTGGCCATGAGGGTTCACAGTGGCTTCAGGTCTGATTCATATATACAGTGGAACTTCCTAGATACGTGCTTCTCGAAAAATAAATAATAACATTTCCCATGTTACGAATCTGCAACTATTGCAACAAGATTTTGCTTGTGAGACGAGGAATTGTCTTGTACTCAAACGGGGACTGGCATCCATTCAGTCGTACGGCATGCCGAGTTTGCCATAAAGTGTTTCCATCCATCCATTTTCATCTGTTTATCCGTTACTCGGTTTGCGGGGGCACCACTGGAAGGTCCCAACGCCCTAACCGGGATTCGATTTTGCCCAGGAGGTAAACCCTGGGGATCCGCACCAATGACAGAGACATTGCATCTGCGCCACACTTTTAGTGTTTTATAAAATAAAATTTAAAATATATATATCAATAATCCTTTTCCTATGCCAAGTGCCCCCATCTCTCACTCACTGTCCCTCGCTTGGTTATTTTACCTGTCATTTTTTGACTTTCTTGTTTTTGATGTTTAGATACGGGGGGACATTAGTTGTATATATATATATTTCTGGGGGGCCGGAAGGAATTATTTGGTTTTTACTTATTTTTAACTGGAAATATTTGATCTGGATACAAGTGGATCGAGACACGAGTGCTGTTGTAGAACAAATTAAACTCGTATCTCGTGGCTCCACTGTATTTTAACATTAACATGCTAGGTTAACTAACTACTAGCGACTGATCTAGTCTAGTGGAACCCCAGGGTTCACCTCCTGGGCAAGATTGAATCCCGGTTAGGGCGGTTGGCGACCCGGTAACGGATAAGCGGATGAAAATGTATGGATGGCTAGTATGACTTGTCCTTTTTTTTTTTTTTCAAGTCATTTGAAGTAGATAAGTAACTTTTACTCTAAGTCAATTTTAAATTAAGTATTGATTTACATTTAGCTGAGTAGACTTTTAGATGGGTACTAGGATTTATTTATTTATTACTTTACCTAATTACAGTTTTAGTACTTTTTCTACCTCTAATGACCATGGACTGAAAAAGAATCAAATCCACGATCAAAACAACTAACAGGCTTATCAAGGCATGAAAAGACGCAGCAAGAGCTTTATACAGAAGTTTGAAAACTAGAAGGCGATTGTAATCTATTCAGCTTATTTGTTTAGCGCCACAGCTAAAGTTACTGAAAATGAACTGAAAAAATAAACACATACTAACTTTTGAGCTCACTATACCAATTACTTAAGTTTGGTAAAATACATTGTATGTCTCCACAGGGTGATTGGTCTTTTCTCTCAGGGGCTCCTTGCTGGTTTTGCTGTCTGGAGTGTTATTGTGGTTTATATTTTAGCTGGTGATCGCATGAGCACTCTTACCAACCTGCTGGTGCAGTACCACCCACTGGCCTATCTGAGTCAATCACTACAGTACCTGCTGCTGACCATTAGCACCGTGTCTGCCTTTGACAGGTATGTTGGTTTGGTCCAGTTGTTGCTCAAGTTGCAGACATGGGAAATCACAGCAGTAACGATTGCTGCTGCTGATTTTTGTGTTTCAGACTGAATCTGGGTAAAACCTCTACAGTCCTGAGCCGACTACTCACTCTGGACTCTGCGGCTCTGACCTCAGTCTGTGAGTGACACAACACCGGTGCGTTGACGATGGAAAAGATCGTTTAAACGAAACTTTTCTCTTTCTCTGTTGCAGTGTATTTTATCAGTCTGACTCTGTCACTGAGTCAACAAATGACCAGCGATCGCATCAACCATTATCCATCAGCCAATCACACGCTCTGGTGAGAATTATTGATAAATTGGTTAAGTGATTAAAGGATTTACTGACTTATTGGATGATTGGTTCAAACTCAGGCCTCCAAGTTCAGAGCAGCAGATCCTCAGACCATGGATTGCAGTCAACTTTGTGGTGGCACTGTTAGCGGGCGCAGCTTGGGCTGTCATCTCTACTGGACCTGACATCGACTACACTGAAGGTAAACCAATGACCAATGACTTTTTGGGACTGTTTGGTTGCAATTAAAATTAAGAAAGTTAAAGATGCATTTGAATATTCTTTGTTTCCTATTACATTTGGTCTGCATGTCTTGTTTGACATGTGATCCTAGGGCGGTAAAGCTTGGAGATGCATTAAATTATATATATATATATATATATGGCAGAAAAATATGATATGGTATATGCTCATTTCATTATTTAAATAATATTAAATGTTTGTATCTTTGCAGAGTTTTTGATGTCAATGGAAGTGCAGGGAAACCCAAGAGGAGAGGGCCTTGATGTACCTACATAAAAAGTCTGACTAAGTAGAAGTGTCCTTGTTTATTTGTGTAATTTCTCTTAAAATTATTTATTACGCTACCTTAGAATACCGTTTTAAATAAATAAATAAACTTAAACGGCTATCAAACTGATGTGTTTTCCTGTTTGTACTAAATTCCAGTTGCTATTCGGGATAGGCATCAACAGTGAGTCTTCTTAATATTTTATTTATTAATTAAATTTACAATCAAGTAATGGATATAATATAACATGCATAGAATATCTTAGTCAAAATACTGTTAATATTAAAGTTTTTTTTTCTTTGAATAATTAATACGCTTATTTTAATTATTATTTTTATAGAGTTATGGCACAGACACATACAGAAGCAACTGCGTCGTCATAGACTCGGTCAGTAGATGTCAGCAAAGCTACGCAGAGCTACTCCCAACGAAGACGAAGAAGAACCGGAAGTACATACAAATGGTTGCAACCCGAGTTTCATTCGTTTTAAGAAGAACCCTAATAGGACTTAACGGACTCGATTTTGCGTTTTCCTCAATGATTTTGACGATTCCAAGACATATGTCAAGAAGCTGTGTTGTAGTTTGAGAACAGTCGTACGGACTGAAGTTAACATTTGCTATGTTCTTTAAGGTTTGCTTCATATGGCTTTGCTAAGCTAACTGTGCCAACTGAAATTATGTCCAGGCTTCACTAAATAGTTGAGATACTTAAACGTGAGTTTTACTGAAAGACAGGAAATGCTTTACGGACCTTTGTGACACATATACACACACTCCCGCGCTGATTTTCCGAAGTTTGCCGAAGGACTGGTCAGGATGACGCTGTTGCCGAAGGAGCTGGCAAACCTGCTGAGTGTCGTGTCAGAGGAAGCCTGCGCGAACTCTTTCGAAACACTTTCCACACACTTTCACCACTACTTCGGAAAAGCCGAACACTTCCGGGTGGGTTCGGTGCTGGTTCTGCTTCTTCAGCAGCCGGACCTGCTGCCCAGCGCCCCCCAGCGGCTCACTGCCCTCTATTTGCTATGGGAGATGTACCGAACAGAACCGCTGGCGGCAAACCCTTTCGCAGCAGTTTTTGCTCACCTGCTGAAACCCCATCCCCCCCCCGGGGCGGAGG